ATAACACGTTGCTCTCCCTTCCATAGGCTGTCTATAAGCTGAAAGTCTCAGTATTGGTGTCGAAAATATTGACTTCTTATTTTTTTTGGTTTTGGATTAATATCAAAAATTGCTTTAAAGTAATTTGAGAAACATCGTTCCGTGTGGACAAAAGAAAGTTTCACATTATCAAAAAATAAAAGTGGGGCCTTGAAGTTTGTCTACACAGATGTCCAGTGTGTTGTAGAATAGTATAGCATACCATATAGTGGCATTAGCAGTGTCTCTAACATTAGTAGAGGTGCAGCATTTATGAAAGTCTAGGCAGATACCAATAATATTGTTTAAAATGATAGCTTTCATGGCATACATACAGTACAGCACAGCTTAATTTTAAGTGGCCTGAACTGGACCGTTAATACTAGTGTCCTGTAAACTATTGAAAAACACTTACAACTTGTGCCCCTTTCTTTCAGAGTAGCATTCAAAGAAGTGCTAGTGTAACAAATAACGCCTGTCAGCACAGCTCTATGGGCTGTGGGCTTGCAACTGTAAGAAATAAATGAGTAAAATCACAAAAACCCAGACTATTTTTATTTCAAAAACAATAATTTTCTGTCAATTTGCAAAAAAACCCCATTTTTCTTTTTATCGTGAGCTCACTGTTTTTGTTTGTTTGTTTTAAGAAAAAGAAAACTTTGTTGACAACAGGAAATGGCTAGATCCTTTCTCTCTTTCTAATAGAATACTAACAAAGCAAAACACATCTACTTCAGTCATTTACTGGTTTATCTTTTACTTAATTGGTTTGGTGTAGTATGCCAGACCATAGGTAATGACTTCAGAACTGATGAGAATACAGTTAAAAGCTCTCCTCTGACAAACTTAACAGCTTAAGAGTTTTGCAGTCAGCAATGTGTCTGTCCATTCATTTTATAATTTCACTTGAGGTTTGTCACTTACACTCACATTTACTTTAGTAAACTCACTTCTGAGCAGGACATAGTGTAGAGTTCTTTTTCTCTCTGGATTTCTCTCATACACGCACTCAAATAGAGGGGAACACAGTCTCCTCTTCAGTAATAACCCTTTTCTTTCTTCTGATTAATGTTTACTCGTGTAGATTTCCACAGAGGGTTGAAATTAATTTGCGTGTTTTCAAACTTTCCCTTTCTTTTGAGTTAGGATGGAAGTTGGCCAACGTGTACACGTCTCCTGGTTCTTTCTTATGGTAATAACCGTCTTTGTAATAGGGAAATTACAGTTCGGGGGTGGTAGTGCTTTGGCAGACCGTGTGCATCTTCAGACTGCAGAGAGTGTCTGTTGTCAGATGAGGGCAGTGTCAAAAATGTGGTACAACCGGTCTGTTGTACACTTCTTGCTTGTGCTGCTGTCAGTCCTTCATGTTATTTTGATGCTTTTCCCATTCCTGGTAAACACCGCTGCCGCTCACTTCCCTGTTCCAGCTCACTCGTCAGCCAATCAGCATTTGACAGACACGCCGCATGATCCATGTCAAGCAGCGTGCAGTTAGGATTTTGTAGGCAAATAGCAAAAAATTGTGTTACAGATGAAAACGGAGCTAAATTAAACTGTATCCTTGCAGCCTCAATAAAGTAACTCAAAGAAATTTTAAGTAACTCAAAGAAACTTTTAAGCTAATGATGTACTTCAGTTAATGTGTCTCTGTGCACGTGTGTGCTTTTGTACATGTGGTAATTCGCACACTGGGTTGATTCGTGAACTGGGTCTGCACGCAAGGGTGATCTGAAGTAATCCTTAAACCTGTAAAATAAGCCAAAGATATGTTTGGAGGGGGGGAAAAAAGAGCAGCGTTATATGAAAAGAACACCTTGCAAAGTGTTCAGCATGGGGGTGGAATTATTCCGCTTCGGGCCTGTGTGCATGCTGTTGCACAGGCAGGCGTTACACGGATAGAAAGAGACGAAGGGATTCCGCTAAATCGCTGCAGATTGTGGATAGAATTATGAAGAAGTCAGTCAAGGAAGTGAAACTGATCCAAAACATGCTTCGAAATACACCACGACCTACCTCAGGAAACAGAAAGTAGAAAGCGGTAAAACCATGCTGTGCGTACATCACAGCCTAAACATGGATCAAACTTGAAGTGAAAATTACATAATGAATGGACAGACACACAGCTGTCTGCAGCACTCTTTTAAGCTGTTGTGTCTGTCAAAGCAGCACTTTTGCAATTAAAAGTATCCTACTGACTTGGAAAGGCGTCCAAAATGTTGTCCCTGTAAGAAGAACTGTTTATTTGGTTTATAAAATAAAAAGGTAGCAGTCATTAATAATTGAAGAATGACTCATATTGATTTGCTTATTGATTTTACCTAAAAGCTGTCCTTTTGATTGGTACCGGGATTAGCTTTACTAAAATAAAGCTAAGCTGAGTGTTTTTGTGTAAAATTGAAATATTTTACAATATGTGAACGACAAATGCTAGCTCATTTATTAATTCCTAATTTTAATGAATTATTCATCTCACATTCTCTTTTCTCTTGTTTTCTTTCCTTCTCTCACCCTCTGCACCCATCCCTTTTCTCTTCTTTTTTCGAAAACCACTTCTTTTTTCCCCCATTATCTTGTTTTTCTCTCTGTCCTTCAGTCTGATCAAAGCAGGCAACAAGCCTCCTCCAGCCACTCCAGGCAAGCCCAAGAAGGCGACCACCTTCCAGGAGTTTGAGAGCATCACGAGCGACGCCTGGGATGTCGGGGATGACGACGACGAGCTGCTGGCCATGGCTGCGCAGAACCTCAACATCGAGGTGGTCATGGAAACAGCCAATAAGGTAAACTACTTTAAAGCAGTTTTGCCTGATTGATGTCTTTCCACTGCAGTAGCACATTTTCCTATGTCTGTATAGAAGGAAGCACTCATCACGAATCAACACAGCTTCAGTGTATTTTGTGAAATACTAATGATTCTTTTGTTCTGGGTATTCATTTGCTAGCGTTTATTCATATTCCTGAACACAGTTTTTCATCTCTGCTATTTTACATGTTCTTATTTGTGTCCATAAATAATATGTAGCAACTTTTAAAGGGCAAATAGGTTCATATTTGAAGGCTGGAGGTGTTGGTAGGTAAGCTCACAACATGAACACTTCATTTCTATTGTTTTAACATACATATAATTTGAAATACACAATTAATTATCATTAAAAATGACTTGGATAGGCCCTTAAACCTACAGCGTTAGTTTTAAAGGAATGTCATGGTAAAGTCTTCTTTTAAAGCGCCCTTGTCTTGGTTGCCAGGGTGATGTGTCCTCTCTGAAGAGTCTGGACAACATACATGCTGCAGACATAAAATAAACTTCCTGTTAAAATAGATTCCTCTCTAAACTATGCCGCCTGCCATGAAAGAAATGGTACAAGTTGTGGCCTTGAGCGCAAACAATTCAATGGCTTTTTTAAAGATTATTTCAGATTTTGCTGCATTTGCTGAAATTAAAATATTGGAGATTTACTAAGGATAGTGTGTTCATTAACTGAGGTAAGGACAACTTTTAACAAATTGAAAGATTTTTCTTTTCATAGAGTTATTATGCATTTTATCTTTAAGAGGGGAAATTTTACAAAATTGCACAGTTTGCATTTCTCTCAAGCAAGTAGCAGCTGCAAAAAAAAAAAAAACCCCAACACGTTAGTTTACTCATCTAAGCGAGTTGTACGCCTTATGTGTTCTGGGGAGGTTACCAGCCTTAAGCTCACCAAAGTTTCACCTTGTTTTTCTATCTGCTGAACAGGTGATTGAGAATCACAGCAAGCAACAGGAGAAACAGAGGCAGGATGAGACATCAGAGCTGGACCGAAGAGAAGACGACACACAGGAGGAGGTGGCAGAGGACGACGAGGACAATGAAGAAGAGGAAGAGGAGGACAGGGTGGAAGAGGGAGACGCGACCAGCCCTGAGGTATTATTTGGATCCCAGAGCAGCCCTTACACTGATGGCCGCCTAGTGAAGTCCCACAGCGAAGCTCCAATTGGGTCACCTAAAGGTTAGTGAGCACCATTACTCAGTGTTCTGCGAGTTTTTTTTCTTTTTTTAAGCCCAAGTGCTCACTAAGAGAAATTTCTGCAAAGATACACTTAAATCCGTAAATGAGTTTCTGAGGAGGGCAATACATGGAAGGTGAATATGGCATCTTTTAGAAAATGTCACCGCTGTAACTTCTAATGCAACGCCATAAATAGGTTTGTTGCTTTGCGAAAAATCCATTAAACACAATTAAAAATGATCGACATAGTTAGGTTTTTAGTGATGATGCACTTTTTATAAGCTCAGAAAGTTGGAGTGTTTGTGGCGCCAGTATTTTTAGTGGGGTTTATTTACTGTGCCTCACAGCTGCTTTGAGACTTGGCAGATGTTGTCATTCTGCAGTGAGAACATCTGCTAAGACTGCTAATGTTGTACTTTGAGCAGACGTGTTTGTGTAGTGCTCAGCATGAAAATTACTTTAAATTTAATTCAGTGAAAAATTGTTGAATTTATCATTAACATCACTTCAGGAATAAGAAAATAAATAAAACAGTAATTCACCCGAGTTCCGCTAATTTAAAGTCTTAAAATTAGTTGAATTATATTGCTGAAATTGAACTCAAAAAGCAATTCAATACAATTCAAAAAGCATAAATAGGAGATGGAAAGTTAAGCTATTACCGCTTCTTTTCATATTATTGAGAACAGTTCTTTTCTATATTGAAGTTCAGTCACCACGCACGCATATTTTTAACTGTCAAATGGTAAAAAGAGTAGCTACAATATCACATTAAACCTCAGCCACAGGGGCCTAGAGCCTGGTTGGCAACCACCAAGCTGGTTGCTATGGAAAAATGAGTATTCCCTGACCAGTTGTCGCAGGTTTGCTTGCTGTCAGTCGGTGAAATTGGTAAGAAAGAGAAGGAGAGAGCAATGCTGTACCAAAAACTTGATTGCTGCTAGCAGATGCCACGGTTGCCAGTAATTTGCATGGGAGTTGCTGACTTGTCTGCAAACACTCTCCAACTTGCTAAGCAGTAGATAAAAATATTCAAAGAGCACAATGCAAACCAGATACTGTCTGACTTCACAGTAAGAGTTGCATTTTTGGAAATGTGTTGCTTTGAGCAGTAAAGGTTCTTGATGAATATTCTCAGCTTTCAGTTTGTGTAAAACTTCAGTTTCTCTCATGCTCTGGGGTTAGTTTGTGAGTAGGGCTGGGCCATATCATACTGTTCACGGTAATACTAGTATAATATTAGGCAACGATAAGAAAATGAAATATCGCAATAGAATATGAAAAAACGCACATGCGCAGTGCCTTTGTTTTCATATGCACATGGCAGAAAAAGCATGGTGGCGACGGAGAAAGAGAAGGGCGAAGGCGGATCGTTGAATGAAACAGATGAACCAGAATTGGTTTGTAAAAATGCTGCAACTTCAGTGGTGTGGAACTGGTTTGGTTTTCGACCGTCAGATACGCAACAAAGCACTATTTTTGGTAGAGCATGCAAGCAGGCCGTCAGTTATTACCATGTTTTTCAGAAAATAAGGCACACTTAAATTCAATCTTTTGATTTTCAGAAAAATCGACAGTGCCCCTTATAATCTGGTGCGCCTTATGTATGAATTCTGGTTGTGTTTACTGACCTCCAATGGATTTCATGTGATACAGGGGTTAAAAAATCTGTCAAAAATGTTTTAGTACAACTTTGCTAAGCTACGAAGCCGCACCGCTTGATGGATTGTCAGAGCATTACGGCTACCGTAGTCAGGAGCCTCACGGAATAATACGTACTGGGCTTGCACATAACATTACCGTATTGTGTGTGTATAACCTCTTTTTAAGTTTTGTGGATATTATACATGGTTATACTCAGGATATGTCAGCCAGTTTCCACTGGAAATGCCTTTTGGTTAAACTGTCAGCAAGGAATTTGTGAAGATGTTTCAGCTCTCATCCAAGTTCTAAAAACAGAGAGTTGAGAGTCTCAGGTATTAAAACCGTAGTGAGTGTCGTCCACTTTCGAAGTGACTGTTGACCCACTGTTGATCATGTGAGCCAAGGTGCAAAAACCCCCCCCCAAAAACAGATGTGGGTCATTACAATCACCGGGGGTTAAAGGGGAAACCACTTGCCCCACCCTATCGTGTGGCCTATCAAGGTCACCTGAGGTCGATAGGGGAAGTGCCTGAGAAGGGATCTCAAGACTGCATTTTATGTAGCTGATAGCTACGCATAATATTGACACTGAAGTCTCAGAATCAGCAAACCTGATGATTAGTTTTACATTAGAACTCATTATTCATTAATAAGTTGTGTTAACACATTTTAAGGCAATAGGGGAAACAAGCAGCCTTAATGAATCAGACTTAATCAGAGGTCTGACTGTCAACACTGTTTTTCCACTGTAAGATAAAAATATTCAAAGATAAGAAAAGGAAAAATGTTTCAGTGTAGAGCAATTTTTTTTTTCGTAGTAACATGTGTTTCTCCCCCCTTCGCTTCAAGTCCCTTTCCTCTTATATATGAACATGGGAGTTGAAAGAAACACCTTCCCACCTCCTGCACAGCTTCTCTGAGCGACCTGCCATGACCTCATAATACACAACAACCGTTCTGCATCATGGCTCCCTTTTATAGATGCGTCACTGTACGAAGCCTGCTCCACAGGTCACGTCAGTGTTCATGTTTAAATGTGACACTGTGTAGCGCTGTATAGCAACCGGGTATGTCTATAGACCGCAGCACCAGCAGCAGTAGCAGATGCTGAAGCTGTACATGGTGAGCCGTGTAGCCGACTGTTGTCCTGTCTGGCAGGTCATCTGTCTGTCTGCCTGGATGTCTGCTCCACTGCCTGTTGCTGTGTTTAGATACAGATAACACGAACAGCCCTTCGCCTTCAGGCAGTTCCTCTTATCTGGCCTCCATGTACGGCTACATCATCTGTTGGGACAGGGGTATACAAGTCTTCTCTTGTCTTCTCTTATTTTGTCTTCTGTTTTGGGCTTTTTTTCTGTTCTGCTTGTCTTCTAAAATACATACTCTGCTTTTGTAACTGCCTGTCATGTTTGGGAAAAGTGCTCTTTATAAATGTTTGTACACTTGCTCATATTTATTTTGAATCCTTCCTTAAATGTAATATTTGATGTCTTACCGTGGCTTACGTAGTCATCAATTTTAAGCGTTTATTGATACTTACATAATTATTTGTAATAAAGATTTGTCTAATTTAATTTCTTTCAGTTAAAAATCATATTGTCTTTTACATGTTTAGCCAGCACAAAGCAGAAGTCATGATGATTGAACATTATACAGATGTTGTACAGTTGGACCAATGGTTTTGGCTTTCCTTCAGTAATGACGGATACTGGTGTTGTTGAATGCTGGCTGCATGTTTGTAAATGCAATTTAAAACTGTGTAAGATTTCTTTCTTTCCCTGGTATTGGTGCAAAATTTCACAATCAGTGCACCCCGAAATGTAACTTTCTCAACTTAGCTTTGCTCTTAACAGCCTTTTAAAAGGAAAGTTATTAAATGAACTATAAAAAAGGGCTTATTGTTAAAATGACACAAAGGGCTCCAGTAGAGAGAAGCTGCTGCCAGCTTGAATAATCTTTTTTAATTTTTCTAAGTGCAAATAAAGCACTTGAGAACAGATTTGTAGCCTTTTATTTGTTCTTGTAAAAAGTGAAAGGGGTATTAAAATCGGTAGCATTCCAGTTTTCTTAATTGCTGCCAAATGCTTGTGTGATTCTGGTTTTGCTTTAGGAAATGTTGGCAGTGTGGACGACAGGGCGTTTAAAAAAATGTTTTTTATGAACTTGCCCAGTGTGATAGGAGCAGTGTCCGTCTTCACATTGAGGTCCTGATCTCACACACTTGTCTGCGTGCTGTCTCTGCTTGGTTTTGTGGGACTCTTTCTGTTGTTTCTTCTGCACATCTGGTAGAACATGTGGCCCTCAATACTGAATTAATGTGTTTGTCTATCCAGTATAGAGCCTTCACGGTTATAAAACCACAACTGCCGCTTTACTGGAAGCTCATTCCAGAACAAGCCACCAGCCGTAACTACATCTGTTAACACCTGCATACAAACAATACAATAATGTCATATCTAAGTACTCTCTTTGGGCTCTAAAATGATGTGCATAAAGTGATTCTCACACATGAATTGTGGTAGAAGTTTATGCCAGAAGTTGCCTTTTCTTACTAGTAGTATGATCGACATTAGGGGCATGACTGTCCTTATCTATTGTTCCCACTATATAATCCCGTATACAGCTCTGTTGCCATGACAGATTTTGTAATCATTACTGAAAATCCTTTGTTTGGTTTAGATGAAGGTGACAGGACAGGAAGCACACAGTACATCTGATTGGACTATGTAGACAGTGAGACAAGTTTTGTAATTTTTGCCTCAGTATACCACCATGTTGGACCTTTAGCTTTAATTCAACAGAAGTTTTGGTTTACCAGTTTAGGAGTTACAGCCATTTTTATACATAGTCTCCCATTTTTACAGTTAATTGGACAGCTGACTGACAAGCAATTTCATGGCCAGGTGAGATTTGTGGCCTTGTTAGTCCATTATTAGTAAAGCTAAAAAGTGTTGAACTTGAATTTGGTGTCTTTTGACTGGAACCTTTGAATGAGGTCCAAACAAAACTGATGCGAAGGAGTGAAGTGAAGAGATTGCAGAACTTTAATCAAAAGCACTCTAGAGAGGTAAGTGAATCATTGTCAAAGTCTCAAATTGAGAGGTTCCTTCATTAATGGAAATACAGACAGTTTACCCCCAGGTTACACAGAAGAACAGGAAGGACAGACTAGATAAATAAGATACCATCTCTTATTCAAAGCCAGATAAAACAAACATTAACCTGTACCAGAATGATGGGAAGAGAAGGAAAAAAGCGGCTTTTGAGGCAGTGTTACGATGAAGGCATGCATGACTGCCATTGGAAGCGGGAAACCAGTGTTTATTGATAATGGGACTGCTGATAGGATAAGCAAGATGAATATTGAAGTGTACAGGACTATACTCTCTGACAGCTTCAGCCAAATGGATCAGACAGCGCTTCACAGTTCAAATGGATAATGACCCAAAGCATACCGCAAAAGCAATCAAAGAGTTTCTAAAGGCAAAGAAATGGGATAAAGTTAGCGACCTAATCTCAACTCAATAGAGCATGCCTTTCAGTTCAGACAGCACTGAAAGCAGCAACAGAAGGTGGCTGCAGTAAAAGCCTAGCAGAGCAGCTCAAGAGAGGAAACGCAACATTTGGCGATGTCCATGTGTTCTAAACTTTCAAAAAAACCTTAGGATTTGTCCAATTATTCTTTTTGAGTCTTTAGAAAATATGGCCACTATGTATAAAAGTGGCTGTAATTCTTGAACAGTTAATGCTCACATTTTTTGGAAAACCCTGTGAAATAAACCTGAAGTCTGCAATTGGCAATAACTGTAATACTTAGACTTAAGTAGACTTGTTGGCCAGGCTAATGTCATTCGCTTTCATGTTACTGCAGCTGTTCCTCTCACATACTGATGGACTGACTTCCCACAGTAAATCAGCTGTTAGAACTGAATCCCTGACCAGTGCAGCTCGATGCAGCTTTGCTGTTACAAACATTAGAGGTGGAGACGAATGAACCATCGAGGACTTGATTTTTAGTTTAATGACATATTTTCTGTCTGCTCTTCACGTGGCTTTTCTGCTCATCTCTTGCAGAGTGCTCCGAGCTAAAGCTAGCTGCACAGTTAAACTGACTTCACTCGCAGATGGGCTCACAGTTTGGCCTGAGAGAGTCGCTGCACTGCGTTGCTGTTTTTACAATTAAAACGTAAAATTACTAAAAGAAAAAAGGAAAGTTATGCGTGATATGACAGATTTAGGTGTCACACTATTATCCTTGTCTTTTGGCCACAATAATCCTGCATGAAAATCTGTTGCCATGACAACCCTTGTTATCGTTGCTGTAAATATTTAGTTTAGTTTACATGGAGGTGACAGGACAGGAAGCGGAATCTGATTGGACCGCATGGACTTTTCTCACATGTAGTCGATTGGTGCAGCAGGCAGAAGGGTTCTCAGGCTGCAGTGCGTGCGAGTAAATGGTTCTGTAATTTGATATCAACTCAATTAGCTTGAAAAAGCCGCTCTTCAATTTAACTTTGTCTGCTGTTCACAGCAACCTCACGTTATCTCGCCTGCTGTTTAACTTGTTATCACCGTACAGCTACCTATTGCTGCCAGACACGGTGTCAACTCACCACAGCTCAAATTAAAGTGCAGCGAATGCCCTGCACATTCAGGAGGCAGAGCATTTTTAAATTGCAAAAAGCGATCTTTGAGTAGACACAATTTTTGCAGTTGAAATTTTTCTCTAGGAGTTTGATGAAGATAAAAGCCATCTGTCCTTTTTTACATGTGGATGTATGTTTTCTTTAATGTAGCAGCAAGCCGTAGACCTTCATCACATATTCCGTGTTTTCTGCATGATGTAGAGCTGCATCGTCTCAATCCTTTGGATGTGTGTTTGTGTGTTTATGCAGCCCTAATTTCTCTCATCTCACTCCTTCCACCAGATGCAGCAGGTGAGCATGCAGCCCTCCACAGACAGCGGTCTCTGCCCCATCGGCCTCCTGTCATCCCTCTAGTGGCTCGCATGGCTGACCAGAACACATCTGGCACTCCAGCCATGACCGAGAGGGAAGCGTCCCGCCTAGATAAGTTCAAACAGTTGTTGGCAGGACCCAACACAGATCTGGGTAAGAGAAATTTGTCCACCAGTCTCCGTCTGTCAGTGTTACAATGTGTTCTGTTACTTAGTTCACTTGTCTCGCTATTACTTTGTCTCTCTAGCGTTGCCTTATTTCTTTTGTTCCCTGAACTCTTTCACGTTTTCATTTCCTTGCACTCTTTTGCTTCCCACTCTGTCTGCCAGCTGTGTCGTGCTTTTAACAATGCTGCGAGGGAGAAAGTCATCCAGCCATCTGGACATGCAGATTACAAGGGGGGAAAAAATACCCCAACAACAAAAGCCAATGACAGGCCTTTGTTCTAACCAAACGACAGGCCTTTATTGTTTATCCAACCCAAGAGATGTTGTTTGCTACCACTGCTTACCCCAGTGGCCGTGAAATCCTTGTGAACTCTTTGCATTTGACTCTGTGTCCTTTGTAACTAACTTTTGGCAACTTGTGCGCATTAGCTTGTTGCATCGATTCCCTTGTTTCAGGTAATTAAGTTACATCGAAGTAGTCATCAAACGAGTTATCTGAGTGCAGAATGCTGAGTTTTGCGATCCATCCAGTGACTAGTCTGCAATTTGCAGCATGTTATGTGATGAAATGTCTGTGATTTTGGCTGGAGAACATTGCTTCTGAATTTGTGGAATTATTGCAGTTGTTATAGCAATGGTTTAAATCACAGCAAGGTGGGAAAGCAGGGAACGAAGAAAAATCCCACATTTTACTGAGGTGTCTGCAGTTGTATTCAGGGTTGGATGAACATATGTCAGTCCTTCATGAAGAACAAAACACTGGACCACAAACATTGTTTGACAAAAAAAAGTTAAATGTGGAACTGTGAAAAATACATACGTAAATACTTAAGTGAGGCCAAGCTGAGGCTTAGAGCTGCTTGTCTCAGCGTATATACACGTCTGTCAGTTACCTTTGACAAAATCCAAGTCAGTGAGTTGTTAAGAAACAAGTAGTAAAAATAGCACCCACAATACAGTTGTTTTATCACACGGAAAACCTATAGAGACCAACATAGTATATAATAAAAAAATCACATATTGACATTTGAACAGTAAACCTGAGACTAATGACCAAAAATTGTAGATGTTTGTCTTCTTCCTCGTTAGTTTGACCTGAGGTTACCTTTGGTCAGAGCAGAGACTTTTAAAAGCGGCTGAGTTCGTGTGGATTATTGGTGCAGGATGAACTGTAAAAGTCGAATGTCTTTTAAAAGCCATTTTGCTTTTAGACCCTCGTTGAGATTAAAGACGTACACCTGATGTCCTTGGGTTGTTTTTGTGTATTTAAGCTGCGTGTATGTGTTTGTTGAATGTGGCTGACAAAACGTAGCGAGGCCACTGTGGTGAATTTGATAAAAACAAAAACAAAACAAAACCACAAACTGCAAGGCTTATGAGGAGAATTGGTTATGTGCCTGTCTAAATACACTAAATATGCTAAATGCAAAAAGCTGTGTCAGACGTATTTCAGCGCAGAAACGACACAGTTTAAATACCGTGCCTTCCATTTTCAAATGACGACTGTGGTCTTAATTTACTGCAACCGAAAAGCTTTCAACGTGTATTTGAGACAGTGTATCATTAAAGACAAACATTTTCTTCAGGTTTTTCTTTACCTGATCACATTTAAGTAATTTCCTTGTTGTTTTTCTCATCTACTGTTTGTGCCTTGGTGATTTACTGTTTTGCTCTTGGTGCAAAATCAATGCTTTCTCGATCTGTTTCACATTAAACTGCATCCTGCATTCATATTGTCTTTCTTGGAAACATTTGAATTACAGGCCAACTGATACTGGAATTTTGAGGCTGCTTGAAAGAAAATAAAGAAAGTAATTTTCAAAACAGTTGTTGAGTAATAACAGGTTGAGGGAGCTAAAAAGGCAGCAGTTTAGCTAACCTGGCTCCAAAAGCAAATCAACCTCTACAAACGTCCATATATATTTTATAACAAAAATAAACATGCTGTGGCCAAAAATTTTCCCTCCTAATATCCCTCCTTATAATAACTATAAATTCAATTAATTTTATATCCCTTTAAATTTTATTTATGCTTTAAGATGTGCATTATTAGGTTTAAGCCCCTCTATGTTGTACTGGTGCCTTTGGGTATATTTAATTAATATGCTAGCACTAATGATAACATATCGAATATCCCGTGAGATGTATCCATAAATCATGTCAATGCATCAAGCTAGCTAGCATTAGCTAATAACCTAGCACTCCACCCTTGCATCCAAATATTTGACGTCTGGCTTCAAAATCTAACAAGCAAAAAGTAATTTGCAAGTTTGGTCAAAAATATTAGTATGCAAAATAGTGACATCATAGTGCCTACAACCGTCTTTTATATACAGTCTATGTTTATAGTGGGCACACATACCTGTTGTGTAGTTATTCAGGCTTTAATTTGCAGCAGTGTTTTATCCAATTTACTTAGAATGTAATCATTCTCAGTAAATTTGTGCTATTGCCATCATTATTGTTTGCAATCACATCTTAATTGTTACATTAATCTGCATTCTCATCACTTAATGGCTTAATACATGGTGCTGGTTGACTTGCAGTTTGAATCAAAGTGTGTAAAATTAGTGTCCCTCGGACGACTTTGCGGATGCTTAACTTTGCACATGTAGACTGTTTTAATGTGCACACACACACACACACACACACACACACACACACACACACACACACACAGTGGGCATTAGCTATGGTCCTAAAATGTAAATGTAGGATTTCATTAGGCTTGAATAGCCTTCGTCAGCACACTTCTTCACCCCTTGAAAACTTTTCTAACAAACTGGTTCACAAGTCATCAGTGTTAGTCAACAGCGGTTGCGGCCGGCTCGGGAAAAGTGTATCTTGCACATCAGCAGAGTGTCTTGAGATGTCAGCCCCCATTAAGGCCTGCCAGGCATCACATGCTGACTGTCTAAATTTAGTTTAGTCCCTGCACCATGATTAGATACCCCAGAACGGGCGAGCCACGCTGCCGGCTGCTGGCAGCATGAAAGATGAACTTCATTCACAGGACATAATTAAGTGAAGGATTGGAGGAGAAGGGGGGTGCTGAGAGGTGATAGGGAAGGGGAGAAGGATGGGGCAGATAAGATAAGATAAGATGAAACTTTAATGATCCCCGTGGGGAAATTGGGTCATTGCAGCTCCAAAGAATGGGATATAGATGAAAATACAAAAGGAAAAAAATAAATTGCCAACATCTGATGGAACTTAAGCCTCTTGTAAACACAAAGGTAAATAATATCACTGTGTGCTCACAGTTGGATGATTTGCTTTTGCTGTTACTTAGATTATTTTCAAAGACTTTTACAGCTCCCTTTTTTTTTTTTACAATTTAAGAAGTTTTCATTTAAAAGTAAGATGACCAGACACATACCACTCCTTGTCCTTTAAGGGCAGGCCATTATTTCTGCTGCTGCCTGGGACGCATTAATGCTTATACAATTCGCACATACATACCAGCAGACTGTGTCAGTGGGGATGACACCCCCTGGTGTGAAAGGGAAATTTGACCGACTGTCCTTGAGCTCAAAGGACGAGGGTTGGGATGATCCATTGGCTGGTTGCTCGCTTGAATGGTGTAATTAATTGCAGAGGCAGCCATGTTTTGGGGCCAAGCCACCTGACATGGTTGGTCTGCCAGCCTCTAGAGACCAAATGTAGAGATGTGTGTGACTTGGTGCACAACCCAGCACCATTGGTCCCACAACTTAATACTTGGTTATGTACTACTGGTATTTGGCCAAGAAATAGTTTGGGTGCATTATATAAATATTGCACCTGTCAGTACATTATTTCTTTTTCTTGATCAACTTGCTTCAGGATCTCCTTTGCATTCAGAACTTTAACACCGCTGTCAGTTTCTCTCTTAACTGTCTCTCTCTCTTCATTGAACCTGGCGACAGGTTGTGACAGCAGTCTGTTTAGCATGTAAGGTCATGTAGAAGGTGATGACCTGTACGCTTGTAAGAGTAGAGTGATTGATGTCAGGTTGATCTCTGCTAATTATTCCTGATGTCCTGAGGCGAGCCGGTCTGTTGAGTGAACCTGAACACAGCACCCACTGTATTCACAGTGAGGGGGAAGCTATTTTAGACAGAACTGAGGGGGAAAGGGGGAAAAAATGAGTCCCGTCTACTACAGAGTAGAACTTTTGCAGTTTCACATTCCATGTTACAAGTGAAACACTGAATTTTTTCCACAGTGAAAAAATATATTTAGCGAGTTAATAGAGGTTTTTATTTTGTTTTTGTTTTTTTGGGGAGCTGTACTTCATATTCAATGCAAATCGCATCTCAATGAACCCAAAATGTACTTATTTTTTCCATTTGTTTTAGAGAAATGGAAGAAGAGATTCAACCATTAATTATTTTCATGATTAATCAATCAAGTGTAAGCTAATACTGAAAAATTAAATACTTGGACCCCATGGTGCTGAATAGCCCAAAAACCAGTGATACAAATTATTCATTATATCAGAAAATATTGAAACAACTCCATACAGCTTATTAAATGATCTTGTTTCTCTTACAAATGCTTCAGAAGTGACAAATGCATTACTATGGCTATTTATAATCACTGATGGATTCATTGTTGGGATCACCTCAGACTGCTTCAATTAAAGCTTTAATGGGAATGATTAAAATGAGTCACCGTCAAATTAACAGATTTATTTATTACATTTATTAGATATTTGGACCGACACTTAGCCTAAATGATTTTTAATTTGCTTGACAGGTGGCATTGCAGTTCAGTTCATGCTTGGAGGTATGACTAAAAGTTTTTATCATGGTGCTTCTGAAAAGTTCTAGCAGTTTTCATGGTGGCATTATTATTACTCTTATTACTGTTGTTATTATTGCTTGATTGGCCTTTATGTAGACTTATGTTGGCTTAATATACTGTCCGGAGTGCTTAGAATAAACATTTTATTGTTGTGATAAAAGCTAAACTGTTTCACCATCTTTACGGCTTTTATTCATT